CCGGGTCGTTTTTGGTGCTTATGGAACCAAACATGCTATCAGAGCAAAGGAAGTTGAGAATTTTTTGTCTGGAAAAATACTAACCATTGGTGTTGTATATGAAGCTGTTAAATTGGTTATAGCCAATGTGGTTCCTGAAGATGGCACGCCGAGTCCGGCCTACAGGTCAAGCTTAGCTGCTGGTTATCTCTTTGACTTTCTCTACCCCTTGATAGACATTAACTCTAAAATTTCTGGTGTTTGGTCGGATGAATATTGTAATACTTCATTGTTCAAGGATGCAAAAATAAAACAGAAGTACAGCCAGCTTGATCATGTTCAATTACCCACTTTGCTGTCATCATCAGAGCAGGTGCTTGAATTAAACAACGATCATCATCCTGTTGGTCAGCCTACTAAGAAAGTTGGAGCCGCCCTTCAAGCTTCTGGTTTGTATTCCTTCCATCATCGAGTTGCATAAATAATGATCAGCGTAATCTAAGGGCTGCTTCCCTCATAGAATTAAGTGCTGGTCTCATTTATCTCACTTTTAGGTATCTTCACTTTACTCATGTAACAAATTATGCAGGAGAGGCTGTTTTTGTTGATGACATTCCCTCTCCTACAAATTGTCTACATGGAGCATTCATTCATAGCATGAAGCCTTATGCAAGGGTTAAGGATATCAAATTCAAGTCTAAATTACTACCAGATGGAGTTTCTGGGCTGATTTCGGTCAGAGACATTCCACAAGGTGGGGAGAACAGAGGTTGTACGACTAGGTTTGGCACTGAATCTTTATTCGCAGACGAGCTTACGCAGTATGCTGGAGAGCCTCTTGCTTTTGTGGTAATCACCTCATCCAGTATTTTTATCTAATTACATCCACCTCAGTTCTGTTGATTTTAGATGTCATTATTTAAGTGCACTACGGAAATATACAATTGGATTGTGGGAATTTGTGCCTAATCTAGTCTTCCAATCGACTCTCTCAGGTTGCAGATACACAGAAACATGCTGATATAGCATCCAACCTTGTTGAAGTTGATTATGACACCGAAAATCTAGAACCACCCGTTTTAACTGTAGAAGAGGCCATTAAGAGATCTAGCCTTCTCGAGGTTCCTCTTCTCCTCTACCCCAAACAAGTTGGTGATATATCAAAAGGATTGGCTGAGGCTGATCACAAGATTCTCTCTGCCAAGGTACTTTCGCTCCCTCTTCCCTCCAACTCACTCCACTAATTTGAATAGAAAATAAAAATGAAGAAAATGTTCTTCTTTTATGAGGGCATAGATAGTTACAAGCCTAATAAGTACATATACTAGGTGCTTTTCTAGCATAAGATTTCAACGTTGTGCATCTGTGCTTACTGCTAACTTTGTGCTGCTTCTTTATGAGGGCATAGATAGTTACAAACCTAAAAAGTACGTAGACTAGGTGCTTTTCTAGCATCAGATTTCAACGTTGTGCATATGTGCTTACTGCTAACTTTGTGCTGCTTCGTTGCTTTAGATAAAACTCGGTTCACAGTACCATTTCTATATGGAGACTCAAACTGCCCTTGCTGTTCCTGATGAAAACAACTGCATGGTGGTTTACAGTTCAACCCAGTGTCCGGAAGATGTACATGTTACCATTGCAAAATGTCTTGGTATTCCTGAGCATAATGTTCGTGTGATTACAAGGAGAGTGGGAGGAGGCTTTGGTGGAAAGGCCATGAAAGCAATTCCTGTGAGTTTCATTCTAAACAAATCTCCATGTCTTAAACTTCCGTCAACAAACTAAGTCTTGGTTTCAATTCCAAACTTACTGATGTTTAGTTACTACGTTCCTGTTCTCTTGTGTTTAGTGCTGAATTTTCTATAAAAGTTGTGATATAATCCTTTTTTCACTGCTTCAGTTCACACGATTTTCAGTTTATTTCTCCTTGATGATAGATTTACTATTCCATTTCTCTGTTATCAATTGGTGCGAGTACTTACAATGGGATGTAATGTTAACGTTTAGGTTGCTACTGCATGTGCTCTTGCAGCGCACAAGTTTCGTCGCCCTGTGAGAACGTATTTGAATCGCAAGACCGATATGATAATGGCAGGAGGAAGGCATCCCATGGAAATAACTTACAATGTAGGATTTAAATCAAATGGGAAAGTTACAGCCTTACAGCTTGATATATTAATCAATGCTGGAATATCTTTCGATATAAGTCCACTGATGCCAAAATGCATTCTGATTGGGCTAAAAAAGTATGACTGGGGTGCTTTATCTTTTGATATAAAGCTATGCAAAACAAATCATTCAAGTAAAACTGCAATGCGAGCCCCTGGGGAGGTACAAGGATCATACATTGCAGAAACCGTAATCGAACATGTAGCGTCTACCCTTTCCATGGATGTAGATTCTGTGAGAAACATTAATTTTCACAGATATGATACCCTTAAATTATTCTATGATGGTGCCTCAGGTGATTCTGTAGAATATACTCTAACATCGATATGGAATAAGTTAGCAGAATCTTCAAGCTTCAAACAAAGGGTTGAAATAATAAAGGAGTTCAATAGGTGTAAGGTGTGGAAGAAAAGAGGTATTTCTCGAGTGCCTATTGTGCATCAAGTGTTCGTGAAACCAACTCCGGGGAAAGTAAGCATTCTAAGTGATCGTGTATCAACTGTTCGTGGGACCCACTCCGGGGAAAGTAAGCATTCTAAGTGATGGGTCGGTTGTCGTTGAAGTAGGCGGAATAGAGTTGGGCCAAGGACTCTGGACAAAGGTAAAACAAATGGCTGCATTTGCTCTCAGCTCAATCAAATGTGATGGGGTAGAAAATCTTCTGGACAAAGTAAGGGTGATCCAAGCTGATACTCTGAGTTTAACTCAAGGAGGAATGACTGCAGGGAGCACCACATCAGAGTCAAGCTGTGAATCAGTTAGACTTTGCTGTGAAGTCTTGGTTGAGAGACTGGCACCTCTAAAGGAAACGTTGCAGGGGCAAATGGGTTCCGTAACATGGGATGCGCTCATTCGCAAGGTACTTGTTTACATTTCTTGAACATTCTATTTGAGATATTTGTCAGTTCGAACGTCGAGACCGAAACTTGTCAATGATTCCTTCAATAATGTGGTCCTTTCAGGTAGGTTTTCTTTTTCTTTCTTTACGTTCAAGTATTTGTTATGAGAAGAAATCTTCATGCATTTTTCTAAATTGATTGTCAGGCTGCTATGCTGACAGGATATGAACTTTGATATTCTTTTGATATTGACATTTAGATGCTCAAGTTCTTTGCTACCTTACTCTTAGTCATTCAAAATGCAGGCATATGTGGGATCACTGAATTTATCGGCATCTTCACATTACATCCCTGACTTTACTTCGATGCACTACTTGAACTATGGCGCTGCAGTAAGTGAGGTAAGGTTTTCCAGAACACCTCTATCTAATTTCCTTCGGTGCATGATCTGAAACTAGAGTAAAATTTCTGAATACAAACTGGAAGATGGGAATCCTGCTTCATAGAAGATTGCATGCCTAATTTTCTGCAGGAATACTAATGTGAAACTATGGTGACGCAGGTAGAGGTAAACCTTCTGACAGGGGAAACAACTATTTTGAGATCAGATATTATATACGATTGTGGACAAAGTCTCAACCCTGCGGTGGATTTAGGACAGGTTGGCTAGCTGTGACAAGTCAGAATCAAATTCTTAAGTTCATAGATGTTTGTAAATTTTAAGAGGTTTGGATTGGTGCATGTAGATTGAAGGAGCCTTTGTCCAAGGGATTGGTTTTTTTATGCTTGAAGAGTACACGACAAATTCTGATGGACTAGTGGTTGCAGACAGCACATGGACATATAAGATCCCTACAATAGACACCATACCAAAACAATTCAATGTGGAAATACACAACAGTGGACATCACCAGAAACGTGTTCTCTCTTCGAAAGGTAAGCTTTTCAGGGTTTTCTTTCTTTTACAGAAGAGCATAATGGATGTCTCTATGGATGCAAGGCAATATCTTTTACCTTACCATGGATGAATGCAAGTAGTTAGTCTTCTTAAACTTCCATATATAGGTGTTTGATGACGAAATTACTATGCTTTGTGCAGCTTCCGGGGAGCCACCGCTACTCCTTGCAGCATCAGTTCACTGTGCTACAAGGGCAGCTATAAGAGATGCTAGACAACAGCTTAGTTCATGGGGTTGCATGGATGATTCTTTCTCAACATTCAACTTGGAGGTCCCTGCCACCATGCCTAAGGTGAAGGAACTTTGTGGGCTGGACAATGTGGAAAGGTACTTAGGGTGGAAAATGGGTATAAAATGAACTTCTTCAAGATTGGGCTGCATAATTTGTGGGAAATGCTGCTGTTTTTAGCCACAAAAAAAATCATATGGCCAGAGAGGTCGGTCATCTAACAACATAAAGAAACATAAAACATTACAATACTGCTATTACTTGCACACAACACATTATATTGTTGCAGTTGGAGATGTTCTAACTCGGCCTCTTTTATTGATAATAATGAGGTGTATTTGGAGTGTTTGAGTAAGGTGATGGTTATTTTTTAAAGTGTATTTTTATTTAAAAATATATTAAAATATTTAAATTGAAACCCAATTCGAGTAGATGATTTCTTAGGTCAATTTGCGGAGCCAAGCTAATTTTATTGTTGGAAAGGAAAGATATAAAAAAAAAAATGGCATGGCATTAGATTTCATGGACAATAATGCTAGCAAGAATCAAATAAACGATAGCTAAGAAATACTCACTCACATAAAATGCGACCTTGTCGCAAGCTTCAAAACTACCGTGGGCAACTTTTTAACACAATGAAACTTAACCTCCATGATAAAATCAAGAATCTACTCATAGATTTCTACCCAAGCAAAAAATAAAATGAAAAATTGCTCTAATTCAACTCAGAGTTCTCTCATAGCTCTCCTCCATCTCTTATTTCCAACAATGCTAGAAAATAAAAGTCAATAACTCAAAACTTATTCAACCTGATGCAGGACATGGCGCATTCTTAGGAATCCTTGACATGTTATGAAGTAGAACTTGGCACGACTGGTTCAGGACTTGGAGCAGATAATAGCGAAGCACAGCGTTTCCTGATCCACAATGGAGGCAAGAAAGGATCAAAACTAAATCCTTTAGGCTTGCACTTGTCATCAATTACAGCCAAGGCACTGCAACATTTAGGGCCGACTAAGTTCTTTTGAAAGGTCAGCACCAAGGATGCAACCTCATGCAAGCAAATATCTGCGTGCGCCTTGATGGTTGCCAAGCACTCTTGAATTTCTACAGGGTTGCGACCGAAAAATGGTGTTGCAGGAGCTGCCGCTACACCTGAGGCAAGCACCATGAACCCAAAAGCTAGCGTTAATACAATCGAGCATGTCATGGTAGCTTGAACCATCTTGGCTGAGGATAGACGTGGACCGGCTAAGTGTGATGGAAGGGTAGAGGATGCCATTTTAAAGGACCATGCATGCAAGGCATAACGTCCTTGTAATTAATGTTGATTTAATTAGCTCCTTTGTATAACCGACTAGGCATGGAGTTAATCGAGTCTGACTATGCTGGCTGTTTATTTCTGCATTTAATTTAAACTGTATTTAGATATGTTCTAAAAATATATTTGGCATGAAAAAAATATTAAATTAATATTATTTTAGTATTTTTCAATGATTTAAAAAATGTTAAATTAATATTTAGATATGATCTAAAAAATATTTTAATATATTTTTAAATAAAAAAATATTTTTAAAAAACATGTTACAACAAGCAAAGAAAATTACTGTTTACTGTATTAAGAGGTTTGATTTATTGCGGGGTCAGTTTTCTAAAATCCAGGAAGGATTGAGTATATATTGGGCTAGCGTATAGATGGATTCCGGACATTTAACCTTGGTTGTGGTGAAAAAGGAAGAAATATCAAATGTTTCCTAAGCACAGTTTATCTTTCTCTTTTTAAGTGTTTTTTTAATAAAATAAATGATCTTTTATATGAAAAGCGTAATCGTACGTGTTGATATATTTAAAAAAATTATAAATTTTCATGAATTAAACATATATATTTTTTTTAATTATTAAGTCACTTCCTTGACACCCCCCCCTATATAATTTTAACAATACTTTTAAATGATATATTTTAAAAAAAATAATAAATTTTCATGAATTAAACATATGTTTTGTTTTTAATTATTGAGTCAATTCCTTGACACCAACCACCACCCTTCCCCCCCCCCCCCCCCCCCCCCCCACCCCCCAACACACACAGCAATACATCGAGGATGAATGGATAGAAAAAAATATAAGAAAAACATGACAAAAAAAAAAGAAGAAGAAATGAGCAACAACGATAAAATAAATAAATAGAAACTGATTAAGAAGAATTATATTATTTTAGTTTAACTGTAAATATTATCAATAATTACTAGTTAATTACTCAATAACAGAGATAGATAAGGAGGAAACAAATAGAAAAATCAGGGAGAAAGTTTTTAAAAAAACTTATCTGAGAAGAAATATTAAAATTTAATACATAATTCTCTATTTGCTCTAAGTAGATTCATAGAATAATTATTTAGAATTGTATTAATTTAAAACTTCTTCGACATAATACTTAAGAGAGGTTCACATTCGGAATATAAAAGAAAAACTTACCGCATTAATTCACCCCAGCTTGCATTGCAGGTTAGGTCCGTTGGATCTATCCAATAATCTTTCCAGTACATGCATCTTGGATTAACTCGATGCTGGCTGGATAAAATTTTTTTAAAAAAATTAAATTTAAATGAATTAAACAGATCTGAATAATTTTTGGACATAAACCCGGTCCTAAGATCGGAATATGGGACCGAACTGAGTTTAATAAAATATTGTATAAAAATCTACTGAAAGGAGAGGAGATCTGGGCAGAGATATCAATCATATTTATAAAGTTGATTATTGGGTGTTAGGTAGAAATGAATGTCACTTTCTATCCCTTTCCCCTACTTACCTCCAACTTAATCAATTTTGTCCCTAGCTACTTCACTGTCTCCCTGTCTTTGTTTTACCCAGAAAATATGAGAGGTCTTACCTCAAAAGAGTTCGAGTAATTTACATTGTCGGTCAAAACCAGAGTTATTACGGGTAAATTTTCTAATTAAACAACGTGTTTTTTATAAAATCACCAATATAAAAAATATTAATTTTAAACAAATAAAAAAAATTTAAAATTAATTTTTTAAAAAAGCACGAAAAAACAAACCGCACCTGCATCTTACTTACCCTGCTGCGTGCATATTTATCTTGCAGACCGACCCATGTGAGGTGGAGAATGATGTTTGAGTATAGGAGCTACGTCAAAATATACAATGAGGTCATATCAAATGAAAGGGAAAGTGAGATGCCCCTCCATTTTATAAAGCAACTAGGCTCTGTGAATGTGACTCGTTAGCTGAGTGAGTGTTTCATCCGCCATCACAAGTAATTCTGATCCATTTTTGTGTCTGTCACGCACATACATGTTGCACAGTAATGGAAGAGGAGCAGAGGGAAGCAGGCAAAGCTGGGAGTCTAGTCTTTGCCGTCAACGGACAGAGGTTCGAGGGGTCGTCGAGATTAGACCCTTCAACAACGTCGCTTGAGTTCTTGCGTACCAGGACATCTTTCAAGAGTGTCAAGCTCGGTTGTGGCGAAGGTATCGTTTGCCCTTTCTTTTTCCAGTACTGCACTTGATTGTACGTTTGCACACCGTATCTGATGTGTGATAGGCATAGGGTCATCTATGAACTGTTTTTGTCCGTTGAATTATAGATGGATAACATCGCCTTGCATTTCACCAAGGTTATAACACTCGTGACTGGGTGTGAGACTCGAGTTATTGGTCAAATAGGTTGACCCAAGCTAGTTGAAACACTACAATAATATCATTTTGAATTCTCTTCAAAAAAGTAAAGCCTTATTTGGATCGAGTTGATTTATTATAATTGAATATATTAATTAATTTCTATCAAAAAAAAATTTAAAATACAATTTGAGTCATGTTTTGAGTTGACTCTCAAGACTAATATAATAACATTGCATTTCACATGTATTGTTTACAGTGTTTTTAATTTGCATCTTAATTTATTTTGATCAAGTTATGGGTTGACATATTGTGACTGATTATATGGTCAATTTCCACTTAGTTTTTTTTTAAAACACAACTCGAGGTAAGTTTTGAGTTAATCCGTTAAGCTTGATTTAATAATATTATATTTTATATGTATTATTTATAATATTTTTTATTTGCATCTTAATTTTTTTAAAAAAATTTAATTAGTGAAAATTTATAATTTAGCAAACATAAATTAAAACATGCTAATAGCAAACATATATATCAAACAAACACCATGGTTTCAATCTAGTGATAAATTAAAAGCTTTAACGTCATAACCTGAATTTCTGATTTATGACTAACAATGAAAGAAAGGCGTCTAAGAAAACACTCCATCTATGATAAATATCAAACATACTACTCATAAAACAAATTATATAGAATCTCATAAACTTTCAAAATATTTTTCAAAACTAATAAAAATAATTAATAATTTAAAATAACCATTACATGAAATAAAATTTAATCTTTAAAATAAAAATCTAAACTTGAAAAAAAAACAGCATAATAATGGAGCTTTCCAAGACTATTATATTACTCTTTCTGGTTCAATATTATTAGTTGGGAGGCATTTAAAACTATTATATTGATTTAAAAAAAAAAATGTGCCTTTAGCTGGTTTCTCATGATTTGTTCGAATTTATGGTTTTAGGTGGTTGTGGTGCTGCTGAGTGGAGGAGGGAGTGTGCCAGGACCAAAGGCCTCAGCAGAGGCTTGGGTGAACTTGGTTAATGGGATCCAAAAGGCGTCTTTATCAACCCGTCTTGGAATTCCTATGATTTATGGAATTGATGCTGTTCATGGCCATAACAATGTCTACAATGCCACGATTTTCCCTCACAATGTTGGGCTTGGAGTGACCAGGCAAGTATTTTTTTTCTCTTTAATTTTGAACAAACAAGGTTATCTTACCATTTTTTATCCGATTATTTAAGATTATAAATTCTTGTCTTGTACTCAACTGCTTGTCAAGTTTGTCTTTGTTTAATTTTAGAGAACTCGTGTTAGCTGTCAAGGTCACCTTAAAGATTAATCTATGTTACTGATTGATGATAGGTACAGAGGATCTTCTGATTTGTAGTTAGCACCCAACAAATACGCAGATTAATTGTTAGATTAAAGTGTGAAAAAATCTAGTGTTTGAATTACAGTACTATAGAGTGATTAAATGATATCGGCTTTATTAGAATTCTGACATTCTTTGCTTCCACCAGGGATCCTCAGCTAGTCAAAAAGATTGGTGAAGCAACTGCTCTTGAAGTTAGAGCTACAGGAATCCCTTATGCCTTTGCTCCGTGTATCGCGGTACTAATATGACAACAAATTGATTGTTACATGTTATAGAAAATTTTAACCAATTTTTCAAGTGTGTGATTTGTCTTCTATGTTTGATTTTACAGGTTTGCAGGGATCCAAGATGGGGTCGCTGCTATGAAAGCTATAGTGAGGATCATAGGATTGTTCAGTTAATGACTGAGATTATACCTGGTTTACAAGGAGAGTTACCTGCCAATTCCAAAAAGGGTGTTCCCTTTGTTGCTCCTGGAAAGTAAGTGACATCCCAACAAATGCTTTCTTCAACTTATAACTGTGCTATTCAACATGCTGTAATGTGTGATAAACATCTAATATAATCACACGACATTAAAGGTTCAAAGTCCTCTTAATTTACCATTATTTTCCAATTTATTCCTCTAAACAAGGAATTAAAAATAAATGGCAAGAAAAATAGGTAGGTCAGACCAGCCCTTCCGGGTCTTCCAATATTCTAGCTTCATCTAGAAGACACTTCCATTATCTGATTTTAGGGGAAAGTTTCAGCATCCTTAGCACATATCAGCTTGTCATTTACCTGATGTATACTAGCAACTTCTTTTTTGGGTGGTCCAAAGCTCAGCCACGTGAAACAGTGGCCTGCCTTTATTGGTGGGGCATCGAGTGTGGATAATCATCGAAGATCATAGAACATGGCAATATAAATCCTCCAGCATGAGCATTTAGTCCTTTAAGATCAACTCAAGCTTCATATTTTTGACCTAGCATGCTTGCTTGCTTTTGTGGGTCTAAAAATGTCGGTTCATTTTGAAATTTCAAAATGGTGGACCAATAGCTTTAGATGCCTTGGAAAATTGTCTGACTTTTCAGTCACTGGAAATATCATGTAAATACAAAATTTTCTAGCAGAATAATCATTGGCAGTTAGGTGCACGTGCAATTAATAGGTCCCATATGCCAAATCCATTCATTGGATAAATGCTAATTAACTGCTGATAATCTTGAACCTGTATGTCAACAAATCTTCAAGCTAATGCCATATTACCATTAGCCGTTGCACCATCAATGGTTAAAGATACATACTAATATGATCAGATGATGTATACTAATACCATTAATTATAAGAAAAATCAGGTGAGTCCAGAAGGCGTCTGGTAGTGTACCCTATTGCTTAGTTATACGGACAACTTCCATTTTCTGGTTTCTTTTATGGATTGATTCTTAAAAATGAACTTGGAAATACAGGTCTTGCTGGAATACTGTTCCTTATTTTATGGGTTTATAGATAATCAAGAAAGCGGTTTTGCTTTCTGTAATGAATTTAGTTCATTTGGAAGTGTTATTTTACTCTAGAAACCTTATAAGTAACATTTTCCCCTAATCAATTTTTTACTTTGATCAGTACCAAGGTGGCGGCCTGTGCTAAGCACTTCGTGGGAGATGGTGGCACAACAAAGGGCATTGATGAGAACAATACTGTAATCAGTATGAATGGATTGCTTAATATTCACATGCCAGCATATTATAATGCCATCAGCAAGGGTGTTGCAACAGTTATGGTGTCCTACTCGAGCTGGAATGGGAAGAGGATGCATATTAATCGTGATCTTGTTACCGGATTCCTGAAGAACAAGATGAAGTTCAGGGTAGAACAGCTATTAAAATGATTTTCCATTTTTTTGTCGAGATGGTTCTGGACATTCCAGACATAACTCGTTTCGATATGTTTTCTCAGGGATTCGTGATATCAGACTGGCAGGGTATTGACAGGGTTACCTCTCCTCCACATGCTAATTATTCCTCTTCTGTGCAAGCAGGAGTTGATGCTGGAATTGACATGGTTAGTCAACCTTCACTGTGATCTAGAAAATAATTATTTCAGCATCCCACAATGCAGTAAATGAGTTGAAAATTGAATCCAAAGGATGTTCGACGAGCAGAAACTTTTAAGTTTCTTATTTGCTTTTTCCTTGTTTCCTTGCTAATGGGTGTCTTTTGTTTGCAGATTATGGTTCCATTTAACTTCACAGAGTTCATTGATGAGCTAACTTATCAAGTGAAAAATAATATTATCCCTATGAGCAGGATTAATGATGCCGTACAAAGAATTTTAAGGGTTAAGTTTGTCATGGGTCTCTTTGAGAAACCATTGGCTGATCTCAGCATGGCCAACCAACTTGGCAGTCAGGTTTGCCTATTCAATCTTCGTTCTTTAAAGGCCTGTACATTTCATCTGTCCTGTAATATGGCGAAATTCTGTATCTGTTGATCACATGAAGTTCACTGGACAGGAACATAGAGAATTAGCGAGAGAAGCTGTGAGGAAATCACTTGTTCTGCTAAAGAATGGCAAGTACACTACTGCTAAGCCATTGCTACCACTTCCTAAGAAAGCGCCAAAGATACTAGTTGCAGGAAGCCATGCTGACAACTTGGGCTACCAATGTGGAGGCTGGACAATAACATGGCAGGGTCTTGGTGGGAATGATCTCACAACTGGTATGTTTCTCTTATTACTCATAGGCACTGAAAGACTTGCCAGGAAAACCGACTTTGTTGCAAACCCTGAAACAGTTCCACTTATTTGAGATTCCCAAATGCTTTATTGCAGGGGATAATTAGTGAGTTTCCACCATATTTTATTATCAAGTAGCACACGCTGTTGTAAAGGCATCCTAGTTTTACTACCTTACACGGAGATAACAGCTAAAATGTATTAAGGCTCACGGATGATTAGGAGAGATGTCACCATTTTCTAGAAATTTTAGCAGAATTAATCTTTTTTCTCCTTGTGTTATTATAATGTTTGTAATGAATTACCATCTTCGTAAACAGGTACCACAATCCTCAATGCAGTGAAGAATACAGTTGATCCTACCACCCAAGTCGTCTACAATGAGAATCCAGATTCAAACTTTGTCAAATCCAACAAATTCTCCTATGCTATTGTTGTCGTTGGTGAGCCACCATATGCTGAAATGTATGGCGATAGCTCCAATCTAACTATATCTGAACCTGGCCCCAGTACCATCAACAGTGTGTGTGGAGCTGTCAAATGTGTCGTCGTTGTTATATCTGGGCGCCCTGTTGTGATCCAGCCCTATCTTGAAAAAATAGATGCTCTTGTTGCTGCATGGCTTCCAGGAACAGAAGGCCAAGGTGTTGCTGACAATCTTTTTGGTGACTATGGGTTCACTGGAAAGCTTGCACGAACATGGTTCAAGACAGTTGACCAGCTTCCAATGAACGTTGGCGATCCACATTATGATCCTCTATTTCCATTTGGGTTTGGTATCACAACTAAACCTGCCGAAAACTAGAAATTCGCCAATTTCTGAGTGATGTCCTGCATTATTCACATCTTGTCCCACTCCTTCGTGGTAAAAAAAACTTGAGGCTGTTTCCCATCTCCATGAGGAGCTCTATAGAGTGTTAAGAAAGAATAGACAAGGTGCAGAACTGCTCCAAGCTGTAAGATTCTAAAACCTTTTTGGGTTTTAATGACTAGCATCGTATCTTCAAAATGATCCAAGGTCCAGGTTATGAAGTGATCAATTCAATCTTTTAATCAATACACCATTGTTTTTTTATTATTGTGAGAGCGTGGTCTGAGTTTGAATTATATAATAAGCTATCGAGTCTCCTCCGAATCTACCCCAAATCTCATAATCCACTTTCATCTATGGTATGAGCAAAACAATCGCTAGCAATCCATAACCCAGGCGTGTTAAATTCAGAGCTGTCTGTATGTGACTCTATCTTCTCAATTTCATCCAAAATAATTAATTGATTCTCTTCGATGCTAAGTTTCCCAGTTATTCAACACCTGGCCCAACAGGGAAATGGCCCAGTGGGCCACAAGGTCTGCGTACTGACCTTTTAACAATATAATGTCTTTTTTGTGCTGCGTTGATTAGTGCTCCAATACAGAAGAAGCACAACCATATTTGATTGGTATATAATAAATTTATACGATTTTATACTTTCAAAACAAAATTAAAATTATGTAAATTAAAACCAGAGAGATTCTATAAGATTAATCATCTTATTGCACTAAATGATTTTATTTTATTTTTATCTTGGAGTTCTTATCCATAATTATTAAGACAATCCAACAGAAAGGTACTTAGGGTGGAAATGGATAGAAAGTGAACTTCTTCAAGATTGGGCTGCGGAATTTGTGGGAAATGCTATTGTTTTTAGCCACAAAAATAATCAAATGGCCAGAGAGGTCAGTCATCTAACAACATAATGAAACATAAAACATTGCAGTACTGCTAGTACATGCACAGGACACCTTATATCGTTGCAGTTGGAGACGTTCTAACTGGGCCCTTTTTATTGATGATGGTGAAGTGTTTTGGAAATTATTATTTTTAAAAATATTTTTTTTATTAATTTTTTTTTATTTTTCTAATGGTTGTCTTTTGTTTGCAGATTATGGTTCCATTTAACTTCACAGAGTTCATTGATGAGCTAACTTATCAAGTGAAAAATAATATTATCCCTATGAGCAGGATTAATGATGCCGTACAAAGAATTTTAAGGGTTAAGTTTGTCATGGGTCTCTTTGAGAAACCATTGGCTGATCTCAGCATGGCCAACCAACTTGGCAGTCAGGTTTGCCTATTCAATCTTCGTTCTTTAAAGGCCTGTACATTTCATCTGTCCTGTAATATGGCGAAATTCTGTATCTGTTGATCACATGAAGTTCACTGGACAGGAACATAGAGAATTAGCGAGAGAAGCTGTGAGGAAATCACTTGTTCTGCTAAAGAATGGCAAGTACACTACTGCTAAGCCATTGCTACCACTTCCTAAGAAAGCGCCAAAGATACTAGTTGCAGGAAGCCATGCTGACAACTTGGGCTACCAATGTGGAGGCTGGACAATAACATGGCAGGGTCTTGGTGGGAATGATCTCACAACTGGTATGTTTCTCTTATTACTCATAGGCACTGAAAGACTTGCCAGGAAAACCGACTTTGTTGCAAACCCTGAAACAGTTCCACTTATTTGAGATTCCCAAATGCTTTATTGCAGGGGATAATTAGTGAGTTTCCACCATATTTTATTATCAAGTAGCACACGCTGTTGTAAAGGCATCCTAGTTTTACTACCTTACACGGAGATAACAGCTAAAATGTATTAAGGCTCACGGATGATTAGGAGAGATGTCACCATTTTCTAGAAATTTTAGCAGAATTAATCTTTTTTCTCCTTGTGTTATTATAATGTTTGTAATGAATTACCATCTTCGTAAACAGGTACCACAATCCTCAATGCAGTGAAGAATACAGTTGATCCTACCACCCAAGTCGTCTACAATGAGAATCCAGATTCAAACTTTGTCAAATCCAACAAATTCTCCTATGCTATTGTTGTCGTTGGTGAGCCACCATATGCTGAAATGTATGGCGATAGCTCCAATCTAACTATATCTGAACCTGGCCCCAGTACCATCAACAGTGTGTGTGGAGCTGTCAAATGTGTCGTCGTTGTTATATCTGGGCGCCCTGTTGTGATCCAGCCCTATCTTGAAAAAATAGATGCTCTTGTTGCTGCATGGCTTCCAGGAACAGAAGGCCAAGGTGTTGCTGACAATCTTTTTGGTGACTATGGGTTCACTGGAAAGCTTGCACGAACATGGTTCAAGACAGTTGACCAGCTTCCAATGAACGTTGGCGATCCACATTATGATCCTCTATTTCCATTTGGGTTTGGTATCACAACTAAACCTGCCGAAAACTAGAAATTCGCCAATTTCTGAGTGATGTCCTGCATTATTCACATCTTGTCCCACTCCTTCGTGGTAAAAAAAACTTGAGGCTGTTTCCCATCTCCATGAGGAGCTCTATAGAGTGTTAAGAAAGAATAGACAAGGTGCAGAACTGCTCCAAGCTGTAAGATTCTAAAACCTTTTTGGGTTTTAATGACTAGCATCGTATCTTCAAAATGATCCAAGGTCCAGGTTATGAAGTGATCAATTCAATCTTTTAATCAATACACCATTGTTTTTTTATTATTGTGAGAGCGTGGTCTGAGTTTGAATTATATAATAAGCTATCGAGTCTCCTCCGAATCTACCCCAAATCTCATAATCCACTTTCATCTATGGTATGAGCAAAACAATCGCTAGCAATCCATAACCCAGGCGTGTTAAATTCAGAGCTGTCTGTATGTGACTCTATCTTCTCAATTTCATCCAAAATAATTAATTGATTCTCTTCGATGCTAAGTTTCCCAGTTATTCAACACCTGGCCCAACAGGGAAATGGCCCAGTGGGCCACAAGGTCTGCGTACTGACCTTTTAACAATATAATGTCTTTTTTGTGCTGCGTTGATTAGTGTTCCAATACAAAAGAAGCACAACCATATTTGATTGGTATATAATAAATTTATACGATTTTATACTTTCAAAACAAAATTAAAATTATGTAAATTAAAACCAGAGAGATTCTATAAGATTAATCATCTTATTGCACTAAATGATTTTATTTTATTTTTATCTTGGAGTTCTTATCCATAATTATTAAGACAATCCAACAGAAAGGTACTTAGGGTGGAAATGGATAGAAAGTGAACTTCTTCAAGATTGGGCTGCGGAATTTGTGGGAAATGCTATTGTTTTTAGCCACAAAAATAATCAAATGGCCAGAGAGGTCAGTCATCTAACAACATAATGAAACATAAAACATTGCAGTACTGCTAGTACATGCACAGGACACCTTATATCGTTGCAGTTGGAGACGTTCTAACTGGGCCCTTTTTATTGATGATGGTGAAGTGTTTTGGAAATTATTATTTTTAAAAATATTTTTTTTATTAATTTTTTTTTATTTTTATTTTTAAAAATTATTTTTGATATAATACTTTAAAATGGTTTGAAAACATAAAAAAATTAATTTGAATTAAAAAATAAAAAAATCATTTTTTTTATAATATAATTTTTAAAACATAAAAACAAACAATTTAACTAAAATAAAATCTGGTGATATTAACTTAACTAAGATGTAGTTATAAAACATGGCTGACCTGATAGTTAGACATTGTCGGAGAAGTTAAATTATAACATGAAAAACCAAAATGGAAATCAGTCATATTAACTTAATTTTGCCTTTTAAAAAATCTAGAATAGTATTGTTTGCAACAAAATGATTTATTAAAATTAACAAGGATAATCTAGCCATTTAAGTATTTAAATCTTAAATCTAATTTAACGCTTAATCTATTATGGAAAATATAGTTTTCAATCTATTTAGATTTTTTAAGGTTTTAAATACTGCACTAGATTAATATATTCACCACCTTTCGGCCATAAAAAGACAGGAATATATTTATAATTATAGTAATGGATATGATTTAAAGTATTTTTTTGTTTAGAAATATATTAAAATAATATTTTTTTATTTTTTAAAAAATTATTTTTAAAATTAAAATATCAAAATAATTTAAAATTATAATAATTTTTAATAAAAAAATTAAAATTTTAAAAAATATAATTTTAACTGCATTCCAAATAAATGTGTGTTCATTTTGTAGAATTTTTCCACTAATTTTCTTGCATGTCAGCGGTTTCCGTTTCGCATACGCTATCTATATATGTCATGTCATCGTGCCCGATCTTTCATGTTATTTTTATCATTTTGTATAGTACATTTTCCAAATTAAAGAAGAAAAGTGTACTATAAGGTACAAGATAAAATAATTAAAAATAATATGATCCACCACCTTCATATTTTGATTGTTTTCCTTCTCTTTTTTAAACATTATTATTTAAGATTAAATTGTTTCAAACTATTTAGAAAAAAATAAATGATAGTTAATCCAAGTAATCCCATCAGGTCTATCCGTAACTGGATCATGTAGTTAAAATTGGGTTTGATATCATGAAGTCCATCATTAGATTTAGATTATTTATTAACAAATTAATAAACTGGGAACGGTAATATTCTTGAATGAGTTTAAAAATCCTGATGGAAAAACCAAACAAAAAAAAAACGAAGAAGACACAGGTTTGAAAACCTTCCATGTTATTGTCTTTTTAATGATTATATATAAATATTTCCTCAGTGATTTTATGAATATAGCAAAGTATTTTATTAAGGGGAGATTTTTAAAGGAAATTGGTTAACTTTTTAAAATATTAAATAATTATTTACTAGCGATTTTGGGGATATAAAAAAGGTATTTTATTTAGTGGGATTAACTCGTATTCTGGAGAAAAGTGGTTAAAAAAATAATATAGAGTACCGAATTGCTGATTTTTTATTTCTAAGTAAACCAAACTATGAAGAGAAAATCTTAAAAGACAGGTGGTCACTGTGCTATGGGGTGCAGCTGGGCCCATGGGATGTGATGGTAAGGATGATAAATCAATGACTTGAAAAGTACAAATTGTTTGCATCCTTCCTCTCTTCCTATATTTTAATTTCCTTCACCTAATAAAACATTTGTTTTCAACTCTTCGTCCCTTAACTTAAAATATTAATTTCCATCAATTGTTAAAGATACATACTAATATGATCAGATGATGTATACGAATACCATCAATTATAAGAAAAATCAGGTGAGTCCAAAAGGCGTCTGGTAGTGTACCCTATTGCTTAGTTGTACAGACAACTTCCATTTTCTGGTTTTTTTTATGGATTGATTCTTAAAAATGAACTTAGAAAAACATGTCGTGCTGGAATATTGTTCCTTAATTTATGGATTTATAGATAATCACGAAAGTGGTTTTGCTTTCTGTAATGAATTTAGTTCATTTGGAAGTATTATTTTACTCTAGAAACCTTATAAGCAACATTTTCCCCTAATCAATTTTTTACTTTGATCAGTACCAAGGTGGCGGCCTGTGCTAAGCACTTCGTGGGAGATGGTGGCACAACAAAGGGCATTGATGAGAACAATACTGTAATCAGTATGAATGGATTGCTTAATATTCACATGCCGGCATCTTATAATGCCATCAGCAAGGGTGTTGCAACAGTTATGGTGTCCTACAGCAGCTGGAATGGAAAGAGGATGCATATTAATCGTCATCTTGTTACCGGATTCCTGAAGAACAAGATGAAGTTCAGGGTAGAACAGCTATTAAAATGATTTTCCATTTTTTTGTCGAGATGGTTCTGGACATTCCAGACATAACTCGTTTCGATATGTTTTCTCAGGGATTCGTGATATCAGACTGGCAGGGTATTGACAGGGTTACCTCTCCTCCACATGCTAATTATTCCTCTTCTGTGCAAGCAGGAGTTGATGCTGGAATTGACATGGTTAGTCAACCTTCACTGTGATCTAGAAAATAATTATTTCAGCATCCCACAATGCAGTAAATGAGTTGAAAATTGAATCCAAAGGATGTTCGATGAGCTCTTATTTGCTTTTTCATTGTTTCCTTGCATTAGGGTGTTTTTTGTTTGCAGATTGTGGTTCCATTTAACTTCACAGAGTTTATTGATGACCTAACTTATAAAGTGAAAAATAATATTATCCCTATGAGCAGGATTAACGATGCCGTACAAAGAATTTTAAGGTTCAAGTTTGTCACGGGTCTCTTTGAGAAACCATTGGCTGATCTCAGCATGGCCAACCAACTTGGCAGTCAGGTTTGCCTATTCAATCTTCGTTCTTTAAAGGCTTGTGCATTTCACTGAACTGGAACATAGAGAATTATCGAGAGAAGCTGCGAGGAAATCACTTGTTCTGCTAAAGAATGGCAAGTACACTACTGCTAAGCCATTGCTACCACTTCCTAAGAAAGCGCCAAAGATACTAGTTGCAGGATGCCATGCTGACAACTTGGGCTACCAATGTGGAGGCTGGACAATCACGTGGCAAGGTCTTGGTGGCAATGATCTCACAACTGGTATGTTTCTCTTATTACTCAATAGGAACTGAAAGACTTGCCAGGAAAACCAACTTTGTTGCAAACCCTGAAACAGTTCCAATTATTTGAGATTCCCAAATGATTTATTACAAGGAATTAATTAGTGAGTTTCCACCATATTTTATTATCAAGGAGCACACGCTGTAGTCAAGGTATCCTAATTTAGATAACAGCTAAAATGTACTGAGAGGAGAGATGCCACCCGATCATCAATGAATTAATTCTGCTAAGATTAAGGATAAACGAAGATTAATTCTTCTAACATTTGAGCTATTATTATAGGTGGAAAATCTCAATTGTTATTGTTTAAATTTTGAATTGTTACTCTTCTAATTAAATTAAATTTGAATTATTTTAAACCTATTACTAATAATGATTTTCAAACTGTTAGTCTTAACTTTGAATTGTTACTGTCTTAACTCAATTATTTTTGATATGTTACTCTTTTAATTTTGATTTGTTACTGACTATGATTTGTTATTTTTTTAACTTTGAACTTGTATTATTTTAATTTTAAGTTGTCTTACTATTTCGTTACAATAATTGTTTATGGATTAGAAAAGAAAAGAGAAAGAAATTATTATTTTTAGAATATTTTTTTTTGACATTCTAAATGAAAAATCGATCGCAAATAGTATAAGTGTATCATTATTTAAACCTGTTTGTGACTTTAATGGAATATGCATGGATAGTTTACATACTCTTGTGTTGGTCATTGATGTATTTTGCTCTCTCATCAGAAGATAGAGAAATATAAGGGTTATCATCTTGAAGAAAAGTAATCATACATGACAAGCTTAATTTGAATAAGTTATTAAAATTGTATGAAAAGACAAAACTAATAAAGTATTACTTAAGCTAACATAAATTATTATTCTTTTAGACACAAGTACTTCATGAATACGATAGAAGTGAAGTAGACCCACACCTGCAACGAGATCTAAAAGACGAGTTATAAGTATCGATGCTAATATTTTCTATCAATTTAGTGGGAGGAAAAACCAATTTTTTTTTTTTCATTGGACACTGCTTGTCTTCGACGTGGAAGCCGGGATATGAACATTCTACAATTCTAGGCTCAAAGGCAACAGTAATGACACCAGCTTTGTGAAGGATGAAAAAATAATGGTATGTAATTGTCATTTTTTTTTAAATCATGTTATTTTATAATATAAAAAAATCATGTTACATCAAATCAAATTAAAGTAGAAAAAATATGTATATAAAAAGAAACGAGCTACTGGAAAAAAAAGGGAAGCAAAAGGGTGATGATCCTTTCCAATTGATTATAAAAGAAGATAATCCTTTATAAAAAGACTGGTTGTAAGTAAATGAGTATATTTTCTACATGAAAATTATTATTTAGTTAATCATCTTAAAAGATAAGAATATTTATAAAATACATGGTGGGAAGATCATGGAATCATTGTTCTTTACATCATTGAGATTATATTAAACAATAAAAAGATACCACAGCATGTATCGTTCAAAATAGTATAATCATAGTGGGCGAAGATTGCAACGTGGATTTTCAACGACTATAAGAAACAAGTTAAACATTGATATGGCTTGTACATGTGGTGGACCTTATGGATACTTGATTTCCTGTGTTGTTGCTACTACTTATACCACTACTGCTACTGTTTCACATCCCTACCATGTTGCTCTCCATCTCTCGTGTTGCCGTTTACACCTCCCGTCTAATTCTATAGGAAACCTAAGCAACTTGGTGCATCTTTATCTTAATGAAAATGAACTTTCTGGTGCCATACCTATATCCCAAATATATTTTGTCATCCCCGTACACTCTTCACTTTTCTTATATATTTAATATATAAGAAAAGTGGAGTGCATGAGGGATGAAAAAATATAGAAAATGCAGCATGCCAATTCAAATTCATAGAAATCAATATTATAAAATTTATTTTTTAAAAATATTTAAGGATAAATGATTGCTCAAGATTTTTCTTGAGATTTTTCTCGTGGTGTCGTTTTCACGTTCTAATTGAGTATAAAAATGCCAAAGAAAAATCTTGGACAATCATTAATATTTTAAAAAATAAATTTTATAATATTGATTTCTATGAATTCGAATTGACATGCTGTATTTTTTATATTTTTTTTCATCCCTTACTTTTCACTTTGCATATATTAATCTGTATGGGGATGAGAAAATATATTTGGGATGAGAAAATATATTTAATATATAAGAAAAGTGAAGAGTGTATGAGGATGAGAAAATATATTTGGGATGAGAAAATATATTTAATATATAAGAAAAGTGAAGAGTGTATGAGGATGAGAAAATATATTTGGGATGAGAAAATATATTTAATATATAAGAAAAGTGAAGAGTGTATGAGGATGAGAAAATATATTTGGGATGAGAAAATATATTTAATATATAAAAAAAGTGAAGAGTGAGGGATGAAAAAATATAGAAAATGCAGCATGCCAATTCAAATTCATAGAAATCAATTTATAAAATTTATTTTTTAAAAATATTTAAGGATAAATGATTGCTCAAGATTTTTCTTGAGCTTTTTTATAGTGAATTGGAAGGTGGAGGCTACAACGCGGGAGGTGGTATGGTGAGGGTGTGAAGTAGTAGCAAAAATGGGGTGGGTAGCAGTGATAGCACAAGGGGCAAGCATTGATGAGGTCTACCATAACATGTGGAAGCCATATCAATGTTTAACTTATTTCTTGTAGTCATTCAAAATCCACGTTACAATCTTGGTCTGATATAATTGTACTGTTTTGAACGGTATCTATTATGATATCTTTCTGTTATTTAATATTATCTCAATAATTTAAAGAACGATGATTTTATAGTCCTTCCTCCTTATGTTTTGTAAATATCATTAACTTTTAAGATGATTGTTCAAATAATAGTTTTCATGTACCAAATATATTCATTTACTTACAAACAATCTTTTTGCTGAGGACTATCATCTTTCACAATCAGCTGGAATGAGTTATCACTCTTTTGCTTTCCTTTTTTTTCTGATAGCTCTTGCCTTTTTTTATGAACATATTTTTTCTGCTCCAATTTAATTTGATGTAATATAATTTTTTGTTTCGGAAGGACAATTATATACCATTATTTTTTTTTATCATGGATAAAGTTGGTGTCGTTATTATTGCTCTTGAGGCAAGAATTGTAAAATGCTCTTATGATTTCGTCAAGTCCAATAACTTTTATGCCATTGTTGTGGTTGGAGAGACTCTTTATGCCGAGACAGCTGGAGATAGTTTGAACCTAACAATGGCTGAACCAGGTCCAAGTACAATCCTCAATGTCTGCGGCAATTTTAAGTGTGTTGTTGTCGCAGTGTCTAGCTGTCCAGTCGTGATTGAGCCCTATGAGTCACAAATTGATGCTCTTGTTGTTGCTTGGTTGCGAGGTACCGAAGGCCAAGGAGTAGCAGATGTGCTTTTCGGGGATTATGGATTTACTGGAAAGCTGCCCCAGACTTGGTTCCAGACCGTTGATCAGCTCCATATGAATGTTGGTGACTCCCATTACGATCCCCTCTTCCCTTATGATTTTGGACTCACTACTAAGCTTGTCAATGCTAGCTAGAAAATCTGCTTTTGAAGAACAATTGGTTTCAGCGTGTCATGTAATGTTACAAGACACTTAGCTAAGTCATGATTTTTGCTTCGTTTTTCTTTTTTCGAACATATTGTTGTTTGAAGTTTCAGTTTGTATGAAGATTGTTGATTTGATATGTCCATGCATTGCATGCCATAGAAGTTATGTTAGCTAGAAACTTGTTATTTTTGGATAGATTGCATGATTAGGTACTAAATTATTTGGTGAAATAATATTGTTGAAAGAAAAATTTTATTTGGAAAATAGTGTAGCCGAAAAGAAATCTTGGAAAATCATATTTAAAAGATTGTGCCACAATATCATTGAAAAGTTACCTCATTGAGAGTAGAGCAACTTTTCAAAAAAAAAAAAAAAACTATTGTGTTTTAGTTTTTAGAAATAGTCAACTTTGATCAAGGCAATATTATATCAAAATGGTCTTATGTGGTATCGCCATAGTAGCTGCTTCAGGTAATTTAGTCTTCAGCCCTCTGGGCAGCTAGCACACATTAATTCTTGGATTCTACATGTAAATTTACAGTTATTCTTTGATTTAGCTACTACCCCATGTTGAATTTTTTAACATGTAGAAAAAAAATTAAAATAACTACTTTATAAACAAACATTTGGATTTGAGATTCTTGTGATTAGATAAATTCACCTTTTATGCTTCAAAGATATATCTATTAACAGTTTTGATAACTTTTTCCCCATAATTGTAGATTATATATTAATTGATCTGTCCCTACATACACACACTACTCCTAGTATGAGAACTGAGAAATTAGATGGGGTCAACAAAAAAGGTTTTATAGTGAATAGAGGTGGCAAAAGCAACGAATAATTATGATGATCATCAGAAACTTGGCCAAGGTGGTTTTGGCTGCGTATACAAAGGCGTTTATCATATTATACCTAACTTGCAGTCAAGAAGTTTAAAGGAGTAGACAAGGCTCAAGTAAGCGAGGAATTTTAGCATGAAATTGGCTATAAGAATGTGGTCAAAAGCTACTCGAACTATTTTTGTAGACCAAAGAGTCTTTATTAGTTTACAAATTTATCTCAAACGGAACCCTTTTTCATCATTTCTGTTTGAGAGTAGCTGCTGAGACTGCACTTGCACTTGATTATTTGTGTTCTTTAGCAAACCCTCCAATCGTTCATGGGGGGTGCAAGACAATGAACGTACTTCGGGATGAACATTTCACAGTAAAGATAGCTGATTTCACCAGGTGAAGCTGATTTAGCCAAAAAAATACAGGAAAATTTTGGCTAGCTGGATAGTGAGTTTCTTATGACAGGTAATTCAACAGTAAAGAGTGATGTCTTGAGCTTAGGAGTAGTTCTCGTGGACCTTCTGACAGGATATAAGCCAAACTCTAATACCTGTAGAGAAGCGGAACATCATTTTCATCTCATCATTGGAAAACAATCGTCTCCTTAAAATTCTAGATTTTGAGGTAGCTAAAGAAGAGCCGGAGGAGATAGAAATGGTTGCTGGGCTTGCAAAAAAGATGCACAAATAGCAGCGGTGTAAGTAGGCCGAGCATGAAGTATCTGACGAGTTATCTAGGCTAACAGCACTTCATGAATGCTTGTGCGGTCAGAAAAACAGTGGAGATATAATCTTTGCCAAGCAAATCATCATTGTTTTCCATGAGAATGCAAGTCCTTGAATAAGTGAACCTAAGACGGGTTCCTTATTGAAGTCCAGAAAGTCCGCTACAATCACAAAGTCCAAATTAAATGCTACGTTGAATTGGTCTAGCATCGTCCTAAATCATGTTGATCGCTTTATTATGATATTTATATCACATCTCAGGAATGGCATTTCGGTCTATGGTTCCACAAAATCTACCATGCTAGGTAAATTAATCGCTTTATTATGATCTTTATCCTGTAAACCCACAATTTTTACTTTACACGACGAGAGAAGAAAGGATAAATCCAGAAACATGTTGAGCTTGCAGGATCCTGGAGACAATAATACTCAATCACTACCAATAAAGCTACAACTTAATCAAACAAACTATTTAGTACAAGCTTGACAGCCATTTCTTGGCCCTCCGAAAATGCAGCATGTTTCCTTGGCAAATTCAAATTTTAAATGCTATCGGTGTAGTTTTCAATCTCGAAGGATATGACAGTTTGGGATTGACTCGTGGGAGGACTTGCGTTGTTGCGGAAAGATTGTGATGATTCGCCTAGCAAGTGCTCTGTCTCGTCGCTATTTTGCTGGGCCCATGATTTCTGATTAAGGGCTTTCAGCTTAGCAAGCTCTTCTGACACTTCCTTCATGGATGGGCGGTTTACTCCTACGCTATTCAGACATCTTTTAGCAAGCTCAGCAACAGCTTCTATCTCATCCATCTCAGCTTCATCAGCTGCTTGAAAATCCAAAATCCCAAAAAGATCATTATTTTCCAATGCTGAGTTGAAGTACTGAATAAAGTTCCGTTTATTTCCTGACTTGGCATTTGAGTTTGGCTTCTCCCCAGTGAGAAGCTCCACAAGAACTACCCCAAAGCTATAGACATCACTTTTTTCAGTTAAATTACCCGTCATAAGATACTCTGGATCCAGGTAGCCGAGAGTTCCCACCCCCTTGGACTTCTTGACAGCGACTACTGTATTGTCTGCTAAAACTCCTTTGTAAACTGAACCGAAACCACCTTCCCCGATTTTTTTATCATCATCATAATTGGTGGTTGCTTTTGTCAGCTCTGCCTCACTGAAAATCCTTACTCTTTGATGCTTTAAAACGGTTCCCCCATTTTCTCTGAAGTTCTTGTCCTTTCTTCTTTTACTCAAGATCATGAAGAGCAATAGACAAATAATCACCAGGGAAACTATGGCGCCCACGACTGCATACAGAAAATCAATGGAAAACAAATGAATCTCTTGAACTGAAACGTTTCCATGCCATATTTAGTGGCTATGCTAATCTCATGTGTTGAGAGGGAGGAATAAAGGATGTATGCAAAGCAGAATCCAATAACAAGAGCTTATTGGTTCTCTGAGTACTAAAGATGGAGCTCTGGAAGCAGTCAAAGCAAGCAATAGCAACCACTGGTATAGAAGAAAAATGCGAAGGACATTTACCTGCTATAATGGTAGTGATAGCAAATCCTTGACAACCTACTTTGCCATCACCATGCATGCCAAGTGAACATTTACATTCGTAATCCCCAATGGTGTTGTGGCATTTACCGTAACATGTGTATGTTTCAGGATACTTGCACTCATCAATATCTGTAAACATAACAAATTATGAATAGGCCTTAATTCAATACAATTGAGTCTACACGAATATAAATTGTAGGAAAGTTCTGGCAGGTCTAGGCATTTAGAAGTTGTTTTGTTTCATCAATATCTGAGAATAAGAATGAACAATCTTTTAATTTTAATTACGTAACTAGTGAAGGCATCTGTCACTTTACCTTGGCATCCTTTTTCAAGATATGGGTTTCCTTCGAACCCTTCATTGCATGCGCAACGATATCCTTGACCATTATCAGAGTAGTAGCAATTTGTATTGATGCCACAAGCATATGAACTCTTATTGGCCTGAGCATTTTCGCATTTCTCGGTTTGAGCTACCCATTCGATCACAACATTTGATGTATCATTAAGTTTTGGAGTTCGGGAGAGTGGCCAATCCGACAGGTCAAGGGAGTCTTTGTCCTCAAGGAAAGCAAAGCCACAGGGGTTAAATTCGAAAACATCCGTGTGGTTGCGAAAGCTCTGAATGGTAATATCCAGAGACTTGAGACCCTTTGGAATCGAGGTCTGGCAGCATCCAGAACCTGAGCAGGAATTATTCTTTGACATGGTAACATTTATAGTGCATAAAGAGAGACAAGCAGCCCCGAATGTTATGTCCTCGTTGGTCACCATGGCAATGGTATCACAACCAACTGCTGTGAACATATTTCGAGCGTCTGAAAATGTGAAGGGGCCTGATCCAAGTGAGATAGACTGATTGAAAAGCCACGACTGCCTCCCTGACTTGTTATAGCAATCGGACGATGGATCAATGCCTACAGTGACTGTGCCATTCAGCAATGATATATTGCGAGCAGGCATGTTCTCTCCAAACCGCAGTTCATGATGACCATCATCAGTGGAATTGCAATTTAAAAAGAAGTTCGCATTCATGGCACATCTTTGTTCCCCAATCCCAAACGGGTAAGGAACAATAACATCCCCACACCTTTCTTGGCAGCCATCTCTCACATCTGGATTTACTGTTGCTCCTGTTATTGCAGCCACTACTAGCAGCAGCATCATCGGCAAAAACCCCCACCTCTGAAGTATCATTTCCTGTACACCACCCAACTTAATATATGTATACAAAGAAGCTCCAAACCAAATCTCTCCCGCTAATTTTTAATTGTGCAACTTCATTTCCTGGTAGACAATATATAGGAATGAGAGTCTCACAGAAAACACTCATCATATGACCACTTCCGAGATGATCAGGTCAATGAAATCTTGCGAGTCCTTTCTTCGATCTTTCTTTTATAGCAATCCAAAATGAACCAAACTGTGATGTAATTAGACTTATTTTATTTAGTTTTCTATTCTTTCACGTTCGGAAAAGATCCCATCCGAAGTCATGAGTCAATGATGCCCCAGTAATGAATCATGAAGACTAAAATAAATGATGTGAAAGAAACCACTAGGAGAAAAAAACAGGGAAAAGAAAAGTCCCCCCTGAGAATACAGTATACCCCACAAAGGCAGCCATATTGGAATATTTTCTTGTTTCTGCAAGCTAAGGTTCCCTCTCCTCAATAAAAATGGGTATGGTATTAACAAAGTTATCTCATTGGAAAATTTACTTCTGAGTATGAACATAACTTTATCATAGCTAGTAAACTTCAACAGGGCCAGCCGAGCTTCATAGGGTATTTGCCACAGCAGAAACAGTGGAGACCTTGGGACTTTACCCATAAATTAACCTACAAGACAATAACAATAACCCCAGACTTTGGCGCCATTAGCAACATTCATGTATAGTGATTTTGGTATTATAGTCTAGGTTACGATTTTAAAAGTTAACAGTAGTAATTGATTTTTTTTGTTATATTTTTTTATTTTTCTTTCTATACAATTATCTTATTTTTATTTTGTTAATAGATAAAATTATTGAGACATTTGAGAAATATTGTGAAAATATATTTTCATATTAGCAGGCTTTCATCTTTTACACATAATCATTATTTGTTTTTTTGTTTTTTCTTATTAATATTTTATTTTCTAATGATATTATTAAATTAATCAAGTTTATTAAATGTATTTGAGGCAATTACTTGAACATTATATTTTTAATTTTTTTAAAAAAATATTTAGTTTTTTTTTAATATTTTCTGTACAATAAAAAAAATTAACCTTGAAGCAAGTGTCCATTTTTTTTATTTTAAAATGTTTTTGAAAAAAATAAGAATATTTTTTTACTTTAAATTTATTTTTTAGCATTTTTAAATCATTTTAATATGTTAATGTTAAAAATAAATTTAAAAAATAAAAAAATATTTTTAATTTTTTAAAACAAAAAATAGTTTGAAAAACATAAACAATGATAAACAAAATCACAGGCACCAAAATTACTAAATGATATCTTTAATTATGCCAGGAATGGAAAAGATTTAACGTGGACATGGGAGCTTTGGCAGCACCTTTCCCAAGTCATTTTCAGCCCATGATATGCCTACAAATTTGAAATCTGAATGAAATCCCCTCTTAAATATATTCTAATACCTGAAATACAACTATTTCTGTTAAGAATGCCATTATTATTATTATTATTATTATTATTATCACTCATCATTTTGATGTCTTATTATTGTTATCATTACCTCTTTTTCTAATGTAAAAATCTCTCTCTTTTGCAATCTCTTTTTAGTTTTAGTTTAAAAAGTTTGTCCCAAAAAAAGATAATAGACTGAATTAATAAAAAAATCAATTTATGAATAAATTTTGAAAGAAGAAGAAGGTTATATATCGCTTGGTTAATTAATACAAACTCAAAGGGTCCTATTTTTTCAATTATTTTTTCAATTGTGTTATTTTGATAATTTTTCTTATTTACTATGTTAAAAAAAAAAACCCTCTTGGTTCAGTTACTCCTCTCTCTGTGATGCTCTTACTCCGACCTCTCAATTTCTTTATTGATATCTTATGGTGACCATATATGATGACATGTGACTGGTGTAGACCGATGTCTGTGGTCCCATGAGGCCAATTCTTTTAGAAAATTCTATCATAGTAAATTTCAATATATTTTAAAATAAAAAATATTTAAAAAATAACTACTAATATAATATTAAATGCCATTAAAAACATGTCTTATCATTCTAAAGTTGGGTTGGGTGCATGAACTGTAGACGGTTTCGTCAACATATGTATAATTCATTCCATATATATATATATATATATATATATATATAATCCATGGTTTTAAAAAAGGGTACTATATCTCAAAAGATTGAGCTGAGATTTATATATTATAATGGACTTTAACATCAAGCTTAAAATAAGTGACACTAGGCCTAGATATTAACATTGGATTCCACCTAGCTGGCTGCGGGGGCGGTGGCTTTAAGACCACAAGCAGGCACGAAGAGAGCTAGTAAATGCGAGAAATAAAATATAGACATCAACCTTGAAAATCAACCTTCTTTTGTAGCACGACATCTCTTCAACGAGATGTCATCTACTTTGGTCTCAAGAACTTTTACATTTCAAAGCGATTTGTCCCATAATAAATTCAATGCTCTCCCACACACGTACGGGCTCGTGTTAATTGTTTCCATTTTCCTCCAAATAACAAAAGATAAAAATAAAAAATGAGGTTGATTAGCCAATCATATATTCAGCAGCAGATTAAAAGTACCAGTAGTACTAGGACCGACAATTGCAAGGTCAGACGTGGTGATCATGCACGCACTGTTTCCTTCCTCCATTGCAGTGAAAGGATACATTTTACCAGGGCTACTGAGTGTTGTCTCCAAAAACGTAAGCATCAAAAAGACTGGCCAAACTCGACTGAAACCTACGTGCAGCTTCATCCAAAACAAACAAGACAGACTAACCTAGCTACTTCCAGGGCATCATCAAGGACACGGAAGTGTAGAAGGAAGTAAAATGGTATCTTTACTTTGCCTGCCTAACTCCTACTAAAAATTAACTTTATCATAGTAAACTTCAACAGGACCAGCCGAGCTCCATAGGAACATTCATGTATGGTGATTTTGATGTTAGAATCCAAGTTTACGGTTTCAAAAGTTAATAGTAATAATTGATTTTTTTGTTTTATTTTATTTTTCTTTCAATGCAATTATTTTATTTTTATTTAATTTTTTACTCTATTAACAAATAAAATTATTAAGATATTTTTATTGTTTTTTTCCATTTTAGATGTTTTAATATCTTATTTTCTAATGGTATTGTTAAATTTAATAAATTCATTTGAGTCAATTATCTAAATATTATATTTTTATTGAAAAAATATTTTATATATATTTTAAGTGAAAAATTAAAAAAAGAGTTGACCAGTGATGTAACGTAAGTCAACTAGCTAGTGTTACCTAGGTTAATCATTAATTGTAGCAAGTAAAACAATGAGGACAATTCTTTTGGAAAATTCAGTCTTTCTTGTATTATTTTTTTAATCCTATTGGAAAATATCCCATCCGAAGTCATTAGAAACTGAGGCCTGAAGAGTAAAACCAACGTTGTGAAGAAACCATGGGAGAAACAGACAATGAAAAGAAAAGTCCCTCCTTAGAAGAACCCAACCATTGCATGGGCAGCCATCATGGAATACTTCTACGTCCACGTCAAATATCTAATTAATCAACGAAAAGAAAACTTCATTTTGTCTACTTAATCCATAAAACAAATCTACTTTACGTCCACTTCAACAACTTAACAATTTTAGAAATTAACAATTTATTATTTGCTACTTGTGGAGGCCGAGGTTGATGAATCAATTGAAGTCCTCGCAAGAGAATAGAATATGATTACAAATTTAATTTCCTAATGATACCCCACCACATAGGTTCCCTTTTCCTCGAGGTGTGTTTTCTCATTGGAAGATCTACTTCTTGAAAAGGCTTTCATAGTTTCATACCTCTCTGAAAAACTGCAGTGCCATGGTCTTCACGCTGCCCCTTCATTGAGAGCACGTGCTCGAGCTGTTCTTTGAGGGGCGGCCGACTGTGAGGAAATGATTTTCGTGGAATATTACTTCCTCACCAAAGGGGAACTTGTGCATGAATTTTAATTGGGAGAAAGCATCTTGAAGCGCGACATGAAGGCTGATAGAAATCCAATCAGCAACAGTGCCAAGAAAGAGGGTTTTCCAATATTTAAATAACAGAGCATATTGAAAAACATGAAGGCTGATAGAAATCCAATCAGTAATGGTTTATCACTGGAAATGAATTTCACCAAACCCCAGATCTCACTCGAATATTGAAAATATCAAATAAACAAGAAAATGCTGGTGTTTGGCTCACCCTGTTTTTGTGTGTCAATCCATATAACTTGTCAGCAACCTTCACAAGTTATAAATTGTGTGTTCGCCGTATCAGCCAGGCGACGAATCTTGTCTAGCGAAGAAAGTAATTAAGGATCACCTACAATGGTTACATCTGATGAATAAACAATACCTAAATACAGTACAGGGCACACATAACCACACACCAACAACACTTCAGATTTTCTTTACAGATTCGACGTTCCTATTTTCACTGCATGCAGATACTAGCCAAGATCTTGCCATACATATGGACCAACAATTTCAGATGAGCAGGAGTTTCAAAATCTTACTGTCAGTCAAATTATTCAAACCAGTAGTAGCTTAAGTGAACAAATTATCTGCAGATGTAGAAGCGAGTATTCAATTATGGACGAGGAGCATGCATTTAAACACTATCAGCTTCCCGTTAGATATAAATAACTACTTCCACTCCAGGAACCTAAAGATCAACTCCCTGCAATAATGGGTGGCAGCACTAGGTGAAGGGCACGGTGGTAATGCAAAATATACATCTAGACTCGATACCAATAGCCAAAACAAGATCACAAAATAGAAACCATTAAAGCTTTAGGGAGATGCCAAAAAAAACGACATAGAAATAGGATTTTTCCAGCAGCAGTCCTGTACTGGGGATCCAGTGCTGCGTCTATCTCATCAAAAAGATAAAAGGGAGCAGGATCACATATAACTATCGCAAATATCAATGTCAGGGCTACCACAGTTTTCTGACCCCCTGGTAACTGCTTCATTGATTGTGTTTCCCGTTGCCCTGTAAATGTAACCTGCACACAAAACCAACTTGAGAATCAGATTTAAATTTGAAGATGCCCATTTTCTCGAGGATAGAAGATGCTGTAGGCAAAATAGCTCTGCTCACCCTATTTACTAAAAGGAAAAATGACAAATTAAAACAACATTTGCATGCATTTCATGGAGTATTGTTCTTAACAAGACTAGCTGAATCCTAATCTCACCACTTTTGTCAAAGTCAATAAACAGAAAGTGCACTAAAAGGCTATTTACTATCCAATCCATCCTGTTTTTTGTTTTAAAAAATAAAATTCTGTATCTACATTTCTGCTGAAAAATAAACGCAGACCTTCACTTTCACAACTATATATTTCTCAACCATTACTAGGTCCGTCATCATCATAATCATCATCCCCACGATCACCATCATGTCAAGATACCACAGATGTAAGCCATGCCATTTTTAAACTGCACACCTACTATTATCTCAAAATTTCAACATCAAAGACAAGAAGAATACTGATTAAAGTTGGAAAACAATAAAAAAAACACAAATGAAGAATGATTTTTACTTCAAATCTTTCAAAAACAACTAGATAATACATTACTCATAATACTACAATCAATTCATCAATCAAACTCAAAATAAGATCTACAAAACCCTAATCTTCAACAAAACAAAAAATCAAAGGTAAATAACATAGGTATACATAACCGAAGTATAAATCTTACATTTTAAACTTATTTTCTCTTACTCTCTTCTCCTTTCTTTATCTTTCTCTCTTTTCTGTTCTTCTTCTGTTCTCCTCTCTCTCTAAAATCAGATTCTTGAGTATATAGTTGAAAATCAAAGTTAACTAACATAGTTATATATAACCAAAGTTGTGAAATTCTTGTTCAGAGAAAACAAGCCACGAGATTGTATTTTTCTTGATACAAAATTAACTCAAGGAGAAATATAAAAAATAATAGAAAATTTGAGAGAGGATTGCAATCTATATATCTATTACATATATAGTATTAAAGCTGAAACCTCGAGCACTAACCCTTAGAAAATCCTTTTGATATTTTACATTATTATTGTTTTTTTAAAGGAGGATCATCATCTATATTTAGAAAGTAAAATTCAACCATGTTTGTGTGGCCTCATTTGTATTTACATGTCTTTTTCCAAAAGCTTCTCTCTCGATCAAATCTCTTCATTATACGTGCCGACATCAACAAAATCCTGAAGTGTCCCTTTTTGCTACAGTTGTAGCATTGCATAGTCTTCTTACTTCTTGATTTAGACCTCCCCTGCCTTTGACTCCCACTGGAGCTACGCTTTGTTGATCTTCCTCTTGACACCAACAATGCCTCTGCTTGGTTCAAACTATTTCTATCTCTTTTGTTTTTGCGCCTATTGTCTTCTTCCAAGATAGCGGTTGCAACATCATCGAAGACTAAATAGTCTGAGAGGATATTATTAGTCAAGTTGATAATAAGCTGATCATACAAATCAGGAAGATTTTGAAGTAGAAGCTCTGCACGTTCATTTTCCTTTATTTGCTGACCCAATGTAGTGAGTTGTGAAAATAGAGTTCTTATTGTGTTGATGTGGTCAGTCACCGAAGTGGTTTCTACCATTCAAAGGGTATAAATTCTCTGCTTTAAGAAAATCTTATTGTGCAAAGACTTAGACTCGTATAGCTTTGTTAGAGTCTCTCAATTCTCCTTAGGTATTTTCTTCTCCGTCACACTTGATAATACTTCATCGGCTAATGCTAAATATATGTTATCAATAACATTGTCATCCATCTCATTCCATTTTACATTATCAGTGATCTCCGCGGACCGATCCCCAATTGCTGCCAAACAATTGTCTTTCCTTAAGATTGTCTTGATTCTTATTTTTCATAGTGAGAAATTGTTCTCATTAAACCTTTCAATCTTGTACTTTGCTGTCATTGTATTCACCAAGATCTATTCAGCTATCACCGTTTCATAGATCTGTAATGTATACACAAATAGTATCGTGTAAATAATACTTCACTAAGTAAGTTTCTAGGAAAGATTGGAGGGGTCACAAACTGTCCCGCTTAAAACTCAATCTCCTTAGACATAACTTCCTAAACTGTATTTAATCACTGCATTAACTTTCTATATATGCCAACAGTAACGTATGTGAACAATACTGTATGGATGAATAGTGTCGTATAGGTGATTAGTGTCATAGATGTGAATAGTATCCGTATACACGAATAACTTTTGTGTATTAACAACACCAACCAGAACGCTCTGATACCACTGTTAGGATGCTGGTATGGAAACCCGACAAGACAAAAGATAAGGGACAGGATAAAATGAGAAATGGGACACACAAGAATTTACATGGTTCACCCAATTGGGCTACGTCCACAGGCAAATATAGAAGGATTTTAGTAAGTAATGTGGGAATACAACTTCTCTCTAATAATAAGAGAACAACCAAAATCTCTTTATTAATAGGAGAAAACACCTCACTTACTATCTCACAAATACCTCACAATTTTGTGAGATTATTCTTTCCTCATCCTCTCTTTTTTCTCTCTACTTGCTCTTATTTGTTTATCTCTTGTGGTGTGTATATAATGTTTGGATGCATTGCTTATTTATAGGTAAATATTCATACAAAAGACAAGGGGTAAGACAAATAGCACTAATTTGGTGCCTATAATTTTTTATTATGATATAAAAGGATGGCTTCACCTTCTCCCATTATCATTGACTTAGGTGGTTGGCTTGACAAATAATACTCAATCACTACCAATAAAGCTGCAATTTAATCAAACAAACTATTTATTACACGCTTGGCAACAATTTCTCGGCCCTCCGAAAGTGCAGCATGTTTCCTTGGCAAATTCAAATTTTAAATGCTATCGGTGTAATTGTCAATCTCGAAGGATATGACAGTTTGGGATTGACTCGTGGGAGGACTTGCGTTGTTGCGGAAAGATTGTGATGATTCGCCTAGCAAGTGCCCTGTCTCATCGCTATTTTGCTGGGCCCATGATTTCTGATTAAGGGCTTTCAGCTTAGCAAGCTCTTCTGACACTTCCTTCATGGATGGGCGGTTTACTCCTATGCTATTCAGACATCTTTTAGCAAGCTCAGCAACAGCTTCTATCTCATCCATCTCAGCTTCATCAGCTGCTTGAAAATCCAAAATCCCAAAAAGATCATTATTTTCCAATGCTGAGTTGAAGTACTGAATAAAGTTCCGTTTATTTCCTGACTTGGCATTTGAGTTTGGCTTCTCCCCAGTGAGAAGCTCCACAAGAACTACCCCAAAGCTATAGACATCACTTTTTTCAGTTAAATTACCCGTCATAAGATACTCTGGATCCAGGTAGCCGAGAGTTCCTTGTATTTTTGTGGCTAAAATATTGGTCTGGCCTGGAGAAATAAGCACCGAAGCTCCAAAATCTGCTACCTTTGCCGTGTAATTATCGTCTAATAGAATGTTCACCGACTTGACATCCCCGTGAATAACTGGAGGGTCTGCTAGAGAGTGCAAATAATCAAGCGCAAGAGCAGCCTCCGATGCAATCCTCAGACGATTGCTCCAGGAAGCCAATACCTGTGACCTTTTGTCATGGATGTGCTTGAAAAGGGTTCCATTTGAGATGAACTCGTAAACTAGTAATGGCACTTTGGTCTCCAAGCACAGGCCCAGGAGTTTCACCACGTTCTTGTGGTTGACCTGTGAAACAACGCAGATTTCATGTTGGAAATCCTCGTTCATCTGAGCTTTGTCCACCCCTTGGACTTCTTGACAGCAACTACTGTATTGTCTGCTAAAACTCCTTTGTAAACTGAACCGAAACCACCTTCCCCGATTTTTTTATCATCATCATAATTGGTGGTTGCTTTTGTCAGCTCTGCCTCACTGAAAATCCTTACTCTTTGATGCTTTAAAACGGTTCCCCCATTTTCTCTGAAGTTCTTGTCCTTTCTTCTTTTACTCAAGATCATGAAGAGCAATAGACAAATAATCACCAGGGAAACTATGGCGCCCACGACTGCATACAGAAAATCAATGGAAAA